TTCCCTGCCCCTCCGACAGTGATAAATTAAACAGGATATGGGTTGGTAAGCCAGACTAGCATTTTGGATTTTAAAAAGGTAGCAAATCCCAGTGAAATCAAAGCCAGCTCATTCATATGTTTTCCTTTGTTTCGCTCATGATCAGGGGCATTTTCTGTAATTTATTCATAAGCCCAATATGTCTTTGATGAGCAGTTAGCTGTGAGAATGTGTTAAAATGCAAGCTGATTTGACTTCATGTGATGAGTGAACCCATAGTTGCCCCAGTCTGCAGCGACACTCTTGTACCACTAGCCAGGGAGTAGTGAAATATTTCAAAATTCTCCACTGATTGGCATAGAGCAGGCACCCCCATCTCCTTACTGCTTCTGCTGCTTTTGTTGAGGGCCAGGGGCCATGAAAGAAGACCTGTTCCTCCAGTCTCTCCTTCTTATCTTTCTCCTTCACCTTTTTGTCCTCTGTCCCTCTCTGTCAAGGAGGTACATTTCCACACAGCTTTGTAGAAATCCAGCCAATGGCTTTAAGAGAGGGAGTGTGGCCTTGTGGGTAAGGGACTAGACTGAGACTCAGTCTAGTGCCCTACCCACAAGGCCACACTTAATTCATGAGCTTAATTCACGAGTCTGCTTCAAGCTTCCTGTGTGATCTAGGGCAAGTAATTTAGTCTTTCTGGGTCTCAATTTACCATCTTTAAAATGGCCAAAGGTCTACAAGGTAAAGGCACACCAGTTTGTGTAGCAAGTAGCACACACAGGAGTGATGTGGCTAGCATTGCATCGAGCCACTTTTGTCTCCCAAGCCAAACAACGGGGTATCTATTTGTCACTAGGTCAACCATTGGGTAGGTTGCAGGAGTGGTGGTGTGGCACCCATTGATGCAAGACCAGAGCAACGCTTAAGGTTGCACCTCTGGTTCCCAGCAAGACACCTTATGTACTCTGCCACCCAGTCTGTAATATGGCAGTAAAATAAAATAATGCTCCCATCTGGTTGCCTTGGTCTGTCTGGTTTATTTAGACTGGAAGGTTTGCGTGGCAGAGATTGTCTCTCACTGTATTTCTACAGCTCCTAGCAGAGTGCAATTCCAGTCTTGGTTGGGGCTACAACATAGTCCTGTAATACATCAAACACGGTAACTAGATGTATATCATTAGCCCTATCAAGTGATGTAAGTAGGCTGGTGACACCACATCCCTCCTTGTAAATTCTTTCAATCTTTTTATATTACCATTCTTTAATGTGAAAAAATGTAACACGTTAACATCCTAATGTAAAAGTATAACCCCGGCATTCTGGCTTTAATGCAGTGATGTCCCATTGTTGCTCAAAAGGTTGAATATATTTGCCAGACCTATTCAGCCTTCCACATACTCCCAGCTGCTCATTATGCAGTTATTTTGAAAAACAAATTTACTAGGCATGATGATCTCTCTGTGCCAGCAGTAAGTAAATGCTTTCATTCCATTAAAGCTTAGCCTAGGATTACAATTGGCTATTTTTAGAACAGTGACTTTTAGGCACTGAAAAACATCTAATATATTTTTAAAGAGCAATCTGAAGTGATTGCTGTACCCAGTGTACTAAGGGTACTCTGCAAGCAATATAAATGTTTCAAGATAACTATTGCTTTAGAAGGTGCCAGAGAAATCTCTTTGTTAGAACTCAGATACCCTGGTGAAGAATATGGTTTAAATATACCTCTGCATCTCTGCAGAAAGGCAAGTGGGCAAGAGGGAACAGTGGTGTTTTGTATAGACTTGGCCAGAAAATAGAGTTTTTCCCCACCAAAATAATGGAGGGGTTTTTTTGGGTATATATAAAAATAAAAATAGTTCAGCTGAACACTGAAGTATTCAAAATTTGACTTGGCACTGTAGAGCACCAGAACTGTACTTTAGCACCTCTTGCTTCCACTCCCTTTGTAGAGCCTCCTGAGGGTCCATCTCCCAATGGTGGACCCTGGTTTTCTGCCCCTGTGAGGGGGGGTTGTGAATCACAGCAGCCACATGATCATGGTGCGTTATTCGGAAAACATCTCAGTGGGAAGCAGGAGGTTTCTGAACTCTCCCTCCCACCCAGGCATTATACTGAATTTAAAAATAAATATAGTTCAGTTTTCTGGCAGTCAGATTTTCAATGAAAATTGAGTGTTTTCTGTAGACAGCAGTTTTCCATTTTGACAGAGAATGTATCCATATAGGCTAGAAACTCACTGGAGCAGGGAGGGTCCCTCACTGCATATTTACCCAGTGGAATCATGATCGTGACTGGGGTACTCTTGTGGTATTTTAGTCCATAAAGTACCATAACTAACTTCTGTCTGAATGGGAGCTATACACAGACAAATCCCCTACCTCAGGGATAGCCAACTTGCCACAAGTGGTATGAGCAGCCTCTGAGCATGACCAGATCAAAGAAAAGATAAGCAGCACAATGGCAGATAGGGCAGGAAATAGAAAGTAGAGGAACAGATTGGGCAGGGGAAAGAGGATCAGAGTAGTACTCAGGGGATCAGAGTAGTACTCAGGGAGGATGCAGGGCTAATTTGTGGCATGCCTGCCAAAAAGGTTGTCCTCCACTGATGTCCCCATAGGAAGATAGTGGAAACACTTTGAAAAGTCATCTTCCTGTTCCCCAGAGTGGCCACAGGGATGGAAATTAAGTAATTTCCATAACTTGGTAGCACCGTGTCCCATGTCTCACGCCATATGAATATGCACAGTTGGGTTCTGTGGGTTTGGGAAAGGCGAGCTGGAGCAGAGAAAGAAAATAGCCTGCAGTTTGCCAATTCAAGGAGAAATTTGAGGGGAATTTCTAATGTAGTATCTCCCTCTCTGCCCATTTCCTCAGTGAAGGAATAAAGTACTGATGTAGCTTTGGGATCTGGTGTCTACAAAATCTCCTCAAGGACTCAGTGGAGAGGTTAAGCACAGCACCAAATGGCAGGTTCCCCTAATTTATAAACTAGAACCTCAAGGTTGGGAAATGCTGAGCTCCATACCATTTATAAGCCATGTCCTCTGCCTCTACATAATACTGCGTAACCTCTCCTGTAACAAGAGCAGAGGGTAGAAACTCCACAACCGAATGCACACAGAATTGAAAGTATGTCTCCGAGTCCATAATACATATAAAACATCTGCTGACTTCTATAGAACTCATATACTTATAAGTATCCAAAGACTGAGCCTCTGGTTTCATTCCACTTCCTTTCTTTCTTTTTCATCCTGTGGAGTCTGGGTCCCAGACCTCAAACCCCAAACCCATCCCTGAGCTCCTGCTGTCCCTTCCTGTGGTCATTCTCCTGGGAGGAGCAGCTATGCTTCCTCAGGGGAAAGACCCCACCTTTGGACTAATCTCTGCTTGGCAGAGAACAAGAACCCAGATTTTGGCAAGCTTTGTGGCATGATGCAAGACACACTTATTTGTTTTTGAGCTCTTGGTTGACCCCCCACCCTCCCAATGACATCATGGCTAGTAATATTTCTGGCAATTATTGAAGTAGTGGTTTGGATAAACACTGCCCACTCTGGGTAGTTTTATACCAATGCTATTGCTCAGTTTTGTAAATAAGTTCCTTGTTGCCACAGTGATTGGTTCTCTCTAAGGGATCTCATAATGGAAACATGCAGGGCTAGATCCTACAAGCTGTTATGCCCAAGAGGCCTTTTCTCCACATGCAGAATCCCATTGATACCTCATTTAAGCAAATTTACCTAGGGATGTAAATGTCTGCAGGAACCAGTCAGTCCAACATGCTGTTTGGGCTCATATGCATGATGTCTGTGATCACAGAAGAGGCAACAAGGTCCAATGGACACAGCACAGGAGAAAGAGATATGAGATCTCAATGCTAGTCAGGGCTCAGTCATGTAGCTTCTATGGGAGTTTGGCTAATCGCATTACTTCCCCGAGTCTCAGTTTCCTCTTCCATTCTTTGTCTATTGTACTGTTACCATGTGGCAGTGACAGCATCCTAATCCCTGTGATCACGGTAGAATCCTCTCAGTCCCGCTATAAATAATAGAGTGGGCACAGCTGGACTCAATGGAATTACCTCGGTTTCTGTTTCAGTAAAATGGAGATGATAATGCCCAGCCACAATCTAAAGTGCATGGAGAACCATGAATGCAAAATCCCACAGGGCTTTGTCTGTGTGGGATTTGTAGCTAGAATTGTAGCTATAGAAGTATTTCAGCCCTGGTATAGCTTCATGGGAACAAGTCAGAGTTTACACTAGGGCATTATGGGGGTGCTAACTATGCTGGTACAGGCACACCCCCTATTCCCTCCCCATTATGGACTGGTCCTAAGTGTTTGACTAGACCAATGCAGGCCAGTCTTTTTGGCAGGTGCTGCACACATTGACCCTGCATCATCCTTGAATGCCACTCTGATCTCTTTCCTCTGCTTGATCTTCTCTTTGCTTTCCACTTCCTGATTTGTGCTCCCTGCCTGATCTCCTGCTCTGCTTTCTGCTTCCTGCCCTACCTGCTGCTGTGCCACCTGTGTCCTCCCTGATCTGCCAAGTGCCAGACAAAGAACCTGCCCATGCCACTTGTGGCACTCGTGCCACAGGTTGGCCACCCCAGACTATACCATGTATAATTGATTGGCTATTACTTATAGACACCAAAGTACCATGTCTGCTTTGAGGGGTTCAGCTTCTGAGGACAGAGAAACTTGTCGAGACTGGTAAAAAGCAATGGGAAACAACAGGCAAAAGTGATGTATAATTTATATCCAAGTCAGCTCAATTCACTGTCAGCAGGATAGCAGAAGCAGGTCTTCTTATATAATAGCAGTCTTACTGGCTGAGAGGGCCATGTAAAGAGGAAGAGACCCAATGGGAAGCATATTACAAGGTGTGCTAGTCTTTGTGGAGTCTCATCTAACAGACAGCATGAATGGAGCATAGATTCTTTGACAGGATGGCTTCAGTAGACATTGGAGCAAATCCATGACACTAACATGCTGCATTTTTTGCCTGTGTTTTTCAGCAAAGAGTATCCTGTGGTTCCTAGGAGCACGGTGAGACAAAAAGTGTCCTCTAACCACAGCCCTTTTAGTGGTGAGACCAGAGTTCTTTCCACCTCCTCCAACCTCAGCTCCCAGTACCAGTGTGAGAATGGGGTCTCCAGCACCTCCCAGGACCTGCTACCACCTGCCAACCCATACCCCATCTCCCAGGAGCACAGTCAGATCTACCACTGTACCAAGAGAAAAGGTCAGGCATTGGCAGTTTTCTACCTAATTGTCTCCTTGTTTTTTTCTCTACCTAAGAATGGTCAGCAAAGCCATTTTGCATTCCTCATCCTTGAACAAATACAGCAATTTCCCAGCTCTGGTTTAAAGTTAAGATCTTTGAATGGGCAAGAGCTTGTCATTGCCTTGGGTCAGTAGCACCTTCACTAAATCCACTGGGCCAAATCCTCAGCTGTTGTAAATCACTGTCATTTCACTGACTTCAGGAGCTGTGCTGACTGCACCCAGCTGTGGAGATGGCTCTGCCAAGGTAGTATAAACATTATTGATTCAGATGGATGAGAAAAGAGAAGTTCAGATGAAGCACAGAGGTGACAACAAACTTGAATCCACATCCAGAAAGATAGCCAGTGATGCAGATAAAGATGACTTATCTGTCTTTCTAGCTCTGAGAAGGTTTCAGGGTTAATCTGTAAATGTAAATAACAAGATAGTCTGGATTGCAGGTGGCATTTGGCTAATGCAGTCTTACCCTTCTGCAGATATGCTGTGTACAGAGTACACTTCTTTTGAATCCCTAGTCTAGTGACCATGAAACCAGACTAGAGTTCAGGTGATCTAGCTTTGTTGCTTCTTCTTCTTTTTGTGTCTCTATACCACATTTGACCATTTTGTTACACATGCTTGTGCTGGTTCATCATACTTCGTGAGATCTTTCATTGTACATGTTCCTTCAAGCAGGTGTTGCAGCAGGTATTACAGTAGATGTTGTATAGTCTGAGGCTCTGTGCTGCAGTCACAGGTGATTGAACCAATGGTATAGCCCCACATCTTCATTAGTTCCTTGAAGTGTCCATCTTCAGTAGGTAGGTGGTTGAGACATCACCACCTTTGCCATGGTTTGTCAGTCCCTGGTGATGAAGACTCAGTTGCTGGAATGTCCATTTTTTCACTGTCAGGTATTTTCTTCAGTCTCCCGTTCTACATCTGTAGTGGATGTGTTACGGGCAAGGGCCATAACAGAAGTACTCACATCATGACCCTACAAATTGATCAACTATAACCAATCATAATGCCTTGTGACCGAAGTTTTGTTGCTTACCTCCTGTATGACCATGGCCCAACCCTGCCAGAACTTTATAGACCGCACTATAAACAGTACTTAATCAACAGTTACAGGTATAAGTAATCTCATAAAAGTCAATGAGTCCACTTTGGAGGGTAGCTGCTCACCAGGAGGAGTATGAGGTTTGCCACCTGTCCCTGTGTGATTAGCCCATGTTCTCTGGAGTTAGTAGGAATACTTGTATGAGGAATACTTGTGGGAGTGGCCCATAAGGGCATTCAAGAGAAAAGAAGATAGTGACATCCCCAGCTGCTACAGATAGTTACTTATAGTAACACTCAAAGCCTTCCATTCCACATGGGCAGAGTCTGTGACTCTAGGCCCAGATTCCTATATAGGATCATAAAAGCATAACAACTAGTGGTCCCAGCTGAGATCAAGTCCACATAATTCTAGATGTTGTACATGCAAGTACCAAGACATGGGGAAATGCATTATATTAATCAGGGACAGCAGCAACTTGGACCTGCACCTCCACATCCATGGGGAATGTCCTACCCAAATATTATTGCAGGAGAGTGCATGTGGGTGTTGCATGTATGCACGCATATGTGTATTTCCATGAAAAAAATCTGAGAGGACTCAGTTTCAGCCTAATGCAGAACAAAAGCAAAATCAGAACTTTTCATACAACAGAACTGTTGTTTTCTGGCCAGCATATTAACTGCACTGTACCTATATAGTTTATTTAAAGTATGTCTTTACTATAAGACATTGTCAGACTCGATGATCTACTAAGGTCCCTTCTGACCATAAACATCTATGAAATCTATAAGTCAAAGATGTGACTGAAGTTCCTACAAATCTGAGAAAGTCTTAAACTAGGTGTAGCCACCAAGTATTTATGCAGGGTCCCAGGTGGTACTGTAGCCCCCTGCTGCACCAGTTTACATTGTTCCTAGTGACCAAGATAGCTAGCTTAAAGCCAGTTTAGGTATGACTGTATGAGCTGTAATCATGTCTTCAGATTATAGTGCAGACATATGGTCTGTGGGGAGAAAATAGCACTGTGCCACCCTTCTTGTCCTCTTCAGTTTAGTCTATGTCGCTGATGTTTCTGAGACCAGCTCCAGTGGCCACCATGCTCTATTTCCAAGTTAGTTTAACCTTTGTCAGATCCTCTTCCCTGCCAAGCTCTTAAAAAAAAAGCAAAGAAAGCCTGAACGACAACAAACCCTTTGGGCAATCTCTGGCTGTGGTGTGTCCTGGCAGCACAAAGCAATTCATCATCTGCCTCCACATTGTAAAGTGATAAGGAATCAACAGAGGTTTCCTTCCAGTTTTGGGATTCCCGCTAAGTGGTGTCTCCATGGGTGGTTTCCCTCAATCCCCCAATTATCTCACTTCCTCTTATTGTCACAGAAGAGACGACTATCTCCTCAGCAATAAGTTCATCAGCCCCTTTCTGCATGCATGGCCCTGTGAAAGTGTAGGGGACTGGTAAAGAGAGGCCTTGTCTGTGCCGCCAATGTCTCCTCATTATCTCTCCAATGGCTTGAGTGGCACAAGCAGTTAAGGGCCTTTTATCAAAGCCGCCAAATGCTTTAATCAGAGAGTCGGCGTCCTGTCAGATACCACCGGCTTCTTCCGTCAGCCCAGAACTGTACGTTTCAGGAGTCTAAATCTCTGCTGCCTTTGCTTTGCTTTTCTCCTCATGCTTCTAATAAATCGAAAACAGCCACCATGGCTTAAAGCAAAGAAACAAGAAGTTAATGGGAAACAGAGAGCTAACATAGCTGCCAAGTGGCTCCTTGCAAAGGGAGATTAATTAAAAGGAAAAGTAACTAGGGATGAGCAGACATGTTCAAATAAATCAGAACCTGATCTAAGCTTTCATCCTGAACTCAGACTGTGCTGGTCACATGACAATGGAAGTCACTTTCCCATAGCACTGATCAAGGATCGGTATTAGACTAAGGAAAACCATATCACCCATAAAGCAGGCTTTTTCTCTGGTTCACCTGGAACCTTTCTGTCTCCTACGTGACTTTCTCAGATGGTCTGAAAGAAACAATACATATCTCATCCTAACTGCCTCTGTTCACACACACACACACACACACACACACACACTTTTCTTTTTGAATAATTTTTCAGGAGCATTAATTGAATTGTTGGCTTCACTATGAAGTCAGTTCTGGACATCTTCTGGCCTGGGGCTGGGGTTTCCTTAATTGATTTTCTTGGATCATCAGATCCAAGACTGTTGACTCCTATTCAATAGGTTAGCACTCCTTGTCTGCACTACTTCTGTTCAGGAAGGCTGCAGCAAGAAAACCACTGCTCTTAGGGTCAAAGGGCAAATTAGGTTCAGCTGTCAATACTACCTGTTTTTTCTTCCTGTATTAAATTGATCAGTCTCTACTGTGGGGGCTGTCAAGGTATGCTTCCTTCAGCTACAAGAGCTAGTGATTGCCACTATTTAAATAGGAACAGGTCTCTGTTTAAGCATGGATAAACTTTGGACTGTATTCTAACAATTAAAATGGAAATCCTGAGACATCTCAGTTAGCACCTGCCAGCTGTTCAGGCACTTAAGACAAAGATTTACCTCTGTGCTTGATACTAGTGTTTCTATCTGTCAACCCAAAATGGGTTTAGTCTCGTGACTGAGCTAGAAATTATCCTATAGATGAGCCACAGGACTAATAGGGGGCATTATCAGTGTAGAAGTCTCTGAGCTATCTATATTTACAGTTCAACCTGTCTATCTAACTGTGGCTGATGAGAGCTGGAAACATTAGGAAGAACTCTGTAGCCGAAAAGCTTGGAGTTCAAAGTTTCAAGCTGGGTGTACTTAATCTCAGCATCTGAAAGCCACTTGAAATGATATACTATACGTTTCCATCTTAGTGTAACAGATCTTTGCTGCTGGCATCTTCTGAAATGCTCCTTGACTTGGAAATCTCCTAAAAAACTAGTTATAGTGATGAGTTCAATAGTTTCTTCAGATCCTGCAGTGCATTCCTGTGCCTTTATTTGAGGTCCTGAAACAGAATCTGTTTAAAGCAGCTCATAAAGAAATCCATCTTCAGAGAACGTTAACTCCAATATGTTATCCTACCAAGGAACTATCTTCAGTTTTTGTCATGATATTTTCACTGATGACATTTCAACTAAAATTTTGTCTTTTCTTCTTATCTGCTCTCAACCTCTCTTTATGATTCAGAGAATGACAAACAGGTTTTCCAGATGATATTTTTTTCTCTTAATTTTAGTTTCACACCCCTGATTGCCTTCACAACCTCTTTTGATCTGGTGTGATGTGCTTTCTCAGGGGTTCCATTAACTAAAATGTCACTTATATAGACTTATATTCCTCTGTCTTTACACCCTTTTGATCATGTGGTGGATTTTTAGGATGCTTGTGACACTGTATGGAAGGTGATTGGCACTGTCTCTCTCCAAGGGCATTATGAGTTGTCACATTAGCACTAATAGAAAGGAGAGGATTTGGCAAGATCCATTAGCCGTATCTATCTAGGCAAATCTTGTATCACTTTGGAGCAAATACTTCCCATAGTGGGAAGAATAAACCTTTCTTTCCTTACTGCTTCACTGAACTGTGTTAGGTTTTTAATATGTGGATATGCCATATCTTCTTCATAACAAGCTCCATACATGCACATGACAGGTATTTCAGTAATGAGTTCTTGCTATACCATTCTTCTCTATTTAATCCAGGTCTTCTTTCACTTTGGGAAGCACTGAGATTGGTACCCCCTTGGCAGTGCTGAATAAACAGGGAATGGCCCTCTTTTTCAACAGAATCCATATGAATATGAAATATAAATAAGATCTAGTTTTTCCCATACGCATCCCAATTTCTATGAATGTTAAGAACCTGTGGTCAAGTCTAAGGATATAACCATGCTGTAGTTAAAGGGGTAATAACA